TATTTATTTGACAGAGATATAGCGAGAGAGGGAACACAAGCAGGGGGAGTGGGAGAGGGAGAAGCAGGCTCCCCGCGGAGCAGGGAGCCCAATGTGGGGCTCGATCCCAGGACCCTGGAATCATGACCTGAGCCGAAGGCAGACACTTAAGGACTGAACCACCCAGGTGCCCCAAACTGGCCACAGTTCTTGACCAAATTTAATAGATGAACTGGATCAATAAAATTTAGAATTTAATTTGATCCTGAGGAACTCAATAGCAAAAACTAATTGGCAGTATTAAATATATGCAAAAAAAACTGATTGATGAATCAATTCCTTGCTTTATAATTTATACAGAAAAATACTCCCAATGAAAATAATTTCAGTAAAATGAAATGGAAAAAATATAGTTTTTGCTATGCTTTGTAGAAAACTGATGAATTAAGGTGGCTTGAGTTCATGCAAAAAATACTTTCTCAATAAAAATCCACCTGTGATGGTATGATTCTCATTTAAAGTTTGTATTCATAAGGTCAGAATGCCTTTAGAGTATTTGGAGAGGCAGAGGTAGGCTGACTGAGAAAGCCCTAAGGCAAAAGAAGGGCAAGCCCTGGGAGTTCTTAGAGGCAAGAGTGCTTGAGGCAAAGGAAATATCTTTCAGACATCTTAAAATGTAAGTGAGAAAGGTAATTTCAATACATTGTACTAATTTCTATGATAGAAGGAAGCACTGGGGGCGCCTTGGTGGCTCAGTTGGTTAAGTTTCCAACTCCGGTTTTACTCAGGTCATGATCTCAGGGTTGTGAGATCAAGCCCTTTGTTGGGCTCCATGCTCAGCAGGGAGTCTGCTTGAGATTCCTTTCCCTCTGTCCCCATCCAGCCCTACTCACTGTCTCTATAATAAATAAATCTTTAAAAAAAAAAAGGGGGGGGGCGCCTGGTGGCTCAGTCGTTAAGCGTCTGCCTTAAGCTCAGGTCATGATCCCAGGGTCCTGGGATAGAGCCCTGCATTGGGCTTCCTGCTCGGTGGGAAGCCTGCTTCTCCCTCTCCCACTCCCCCTTGCTTGTGTTCCCTCTCTCGCTGTCTCTCTCTCTGTCAAAAAATAAAATCTTTGAAAAAAAAAAAAGAAGGAAGCACTGGTTGTTCGGGATTTATTGGAAGGACACCAACAATGGATGGGAAATTAGGGACTGACTTACCCATCAGTTAAATAATAACAATAGCTAATACTTAAAATGGTGCTTACTAGCATTGTTTTAGATATATTAATTCATTTAGATATATTAATTCATTTGGCCCTTACAATAATCACGATGAAGCAGATACTATTATTCCCATTTTACAGATGAAGAAACAAAGTTAAGTAGCTTGCCAAAGAGAATATAACTTAAGTGGTGGAGCTGAGATTCATATCAAGGTAGTCTGGCTCCAGAGTATTAATGGATCAGGAACATGATATGTGATTGTAATAAAAACATAACAAGATATTTGTTTTCTTCTAAGAAGGTTAGAAGTCAAACTTTTCTAACACAGTGTTGTAAATACTTTCATTTTCATACACTATATTACTTTGAATACAATTGTATATGGAGAGGTTATGTTACTTGTCTAAGGTCAAAAACCAGTAAGTGGTAGAGTCATAGTTTAA